TAATAGGGGAAAATCGAAAATCGCCCTGTAATAATGGTACCATTGAAGATATCGCGATACGGTTTTTGACATTTGACGTTTCTCGAAAATCAATCCCATGACATCTAAGTCAATTTTCCTCTATCTGGTCTGGAAGTGTGTTTTTCCTGTTAAAACACTCCAAATTGCAGCACCCTGTGCATACCCTCCTCGTTGACTGCGGAGCAGCCCATCCAGCACTAGGCTCCACTGCAAGGGCGACAGCACACCCCCCTGTGTGCAGCCTACGGCTACAGTTGAGCTGATCTTCAGCCCTTCCAATCGAGCTAGTAATGATTCTACCATCCAGCATAACACAGATCCATGTGACAATTGTGTTCTCTATGCCAAAGCTTTCTGCATAATTCTCTATCGAGTCGAAGGAGGTGTTATTAAATGCCCCTTCGAGCCCTCCGATGTCTAGAAATACCCCGAGCCATCTCTTAATGAGGCATCCCTAGCTCCAGCCTTGCCACAATGGCATTCCTGCAGGCGTGTTGAATAGGCAGCATGGGCATTGTCTTCAATGCCCCTTCCCTAGTGAATGTGTCGAGGTGAACGAGGATAGACTGACGGGTCTGCAATCCTTCGCCGCTTCGTAACTATAACGTCCTGGCTTGGGGATGAATACCACTGGGACCTTTCGGAATATTAATGTAAATAAATAAAATACAAACTTTTTTTGACGTTTGCTTTCAAAACTTGATATTTCATTTTCAGCACCAGTGCTATAATAGTTATTTAAACAACAAGTTTTGAAAACGACTTTTTTCGCACGGCCGTGACAGTTTGTTGCACCGAGCCGTAGGCAAGCTCCACAAGTCGAAGGACTGTGAAAAAGTTTTCAAACGAGTTTTTTACAATGTTTTTCCTATAACTGCAAAATGAAATAACCAAATATGTAATTTTTATTTGTTAGAAAACATATCATCAACATCAACAAAAGTTGGTGACAATTGCAATTTATGTTGTCATGTCAAGATGACAAGCCCAAAATAAATAAAAAACTAACGAGCAGCGTGTGAAAAAGTTTTTCGCACGTTAGCGTGTGAAAAATTAAATTTTTAGAGGCAGTTGTAGGAAAAGACTTTATGGCACCCGCACCAGTGCCATAAAGTAACATTTAATGCTACGGGAGGGTGGTAAAATAGTTATTTTCCTAACAAGTGCGCAAAGTGTTACTTTTCGCACGCAAACACAGTTATACGAACGACGCGAAGCGCACGTACTAGGAATGAAATTTTTCCTACAAGTTTCATATCAGGTAGGTAACATCAAAAATTAAAAAAAAAACGATAATTTGTTCAATTATTATCAATTAACTTTGAGCGAACCTATTCATTCATCAAAAAATTACATACCAAAAAAAAATAATAGAAAATCCTCGTCAGAGCTGTTCATCTTAAAGCGTTTAAATTTAATGAGAACGAAGGTTGTAGATTCTTGCATAAAATGGAGAACAAATCTGACATGTGTCAAAGTTAATTATATTCGGTGTTTGTATAGATGTTGGCTGATATAGAAACAGAGGAAAAATTTGTCTTCATGTGACAAAGTCGATAGGTGCACTTATTGTTGCTTGACAATTATTTTTACTTTTCGGCACACAGTGCGGATACAGACCTTATCCGCACGGAGTGCCGAAAAGTGTTACTTTGAGCACGGAAATGCGTGCGAAAAAGTACTACTTTGCGCACGCTCGTAGGAAATAATATATTTCCTAACTAGTGCGCAAACTGCCACTTTTCCGCACGCGATTGCAGCAATCAAGTGAAGGAAAGAGACTTTCCGCAAGAGTTAGGAACACTATTTTTTCTACGAGATGAAAGTTAATATTTTTACCTATACATAATATGTATATTCACCAATTTAAGATTTTTTTTTTTTCACTTTTCTGTACCTGTAGGTACCTGTTGTAGTATACCTGTAAGTACCTGTATATCTCAAAATTTCAGGTATTTAGGTATAGGCACTAGTGCGGAAACGGGGTACTTTCATGACCTGAAATGCGTGCGGAAAAGTGCATTTTTCCGCACGCTCATAGGAAATAGCTATTTACCTAACAAGTGCGGAAATAGTTATTTACCTAACAAGTGCGGAAAGTGGTCCTTTACCGCACGTGTTAGGTACAAAATTTTTCCTTCGGAGCACATAATTTTTGGAATGAAAATGTAATTGGAAGAAAAAATGCATAAAAAGTAGCAAACATTGATGGTTAAAACAATAAATGTTTCTATTTCATGCATTACGGCTATTACGCGAAGGCAAATGCATTAAATGCATGTTTTTTTAAAATTTTCAATACAGTGCGGTAAAGAATCTTTACCGCACTCAAAATTTTTATGACAAAAATTTGGTTAAACGTCTGTCTTGGTGGCATTTGTCAAATCTGCTACGTTGCATTTTGTTTTTCCCATAGCAACAAATCAATAATATAATTTGCGTCTATAGATACCACAAAGAAAGTTCAACTAGATTCGCGTTTTGTGGTTCTTTCCCATTTTTTGGTATAAAATAAGCGGTCTGACGCTGACTTTTTTTAAGCTAACCTCAATAATCAATCATTGGTGAAAATTTTTACAAAAACTGTTTATTATGCAATGGTTCAAATGTGTTGTGTAAGATCTTGTCAGAGTAAGGCGAAAAAAAAGTCAAACCTTTCTGCGAGCTCTCAACCTGACTAAAGATGATTAAAGTTGGAACAGAGATTTGAGGGTTCGTAAAATAACGATTTCTATATCAAATACATTAACAATTGTAAATTAAAGGTTTGCTAGCACTTGCAAATTCGTACTTCACAAACTTTTCTAAACTTTTCCCCCACATATTTGTCATATTTACGTTTAAAAATAAACAAATACAGAAACATAACCGCAATTGCACAATTTGACAAGTGGAACCAATCAAAGTTATGCCATACAGGCTCTATGACACAGGTATCGCGCTTCATTATATGTGTCTCTTTCTTTATTGCAGAAATCTTAATAAACTATCCTTGTTATGCATTACATGAGAAAGGTCCATTACTAACGTATTTTTAAAAGGGTGCAGTAAAGAAATTTTATCTACAAGCGTGCAGTAACTAAGGTATATCACACGATTTTGCGTGCGGTAAATACCACATTACCGCACGGCGTGTGGTAATATTATTACCGCACGCTCTACCTACATAAGTACGTACCTTTAATTACCTACCAGAGATAAATTACTTACCTATCACCTAAATTCTACTTGTCCGCTGTCAAAGCTGACAGACGCAATTTTTTTTTTTATAATTCTTTAAATTTCTTTCGAATATTTTGTTACCGCACGCTTGTAGATAAAATACTGTATATAATACGTATGGTAATCAGGTTATTACCGCCGTTAGAGATTGCAAACCTCGCCTCACCGGCTCGGTTTGCAAATTTCTCTCGCGTGCGGTAATAACCTAGTTACCACACTTATTATATAATATACTATTACAGCACTGAGTGCGGTGAAGAATTTTTACAGCACTGAGTGCGGTAAAGTACTACCTACGGCACGCAAACGAGTGCGGTAAAGTGTACTTTACCGCATGCGAGTAGGAAAATGAATTTTTCCGTACGCGGCTGCCGTTCACCGAACGATGCGTAGCGGAGTTCGGTGGAGCAGCCGAATGCGGAAAAATATTTTCCGCAAGTGTTAAGTACAATATTTTTCCTACAGACGTAAAAATGTAGAATTTCTCTTTTTTTTTTAAGCCGTGCGGTAAAATTTTTTCCGCACTGACAGCCGTGCGGAAAAACTTTTTCCGCACTGATATGCGTGCGGTAAAAGTTTTACCACACCGTGCGGGAAAACTCATTTTCCGCACGGATATCATTGCGGAAAATTGATTTTTCCGCACGGCTGTAGGAAAATTATGTTTCTCTTCTCCAAATTTTCGAGCGGGGAGCAGGCTTAAAATCACCCATATTCTCATCAGCTAACTAGCCACAACAGCCCTCAAAATTCCAGACGAAAAAAAAAATGACTCCACTAGGAATATGAACATGGGACATGCAAGGGCCTAGACTGATAGTATCAGACAGGACCCCCTTCTCACAACCCCCTCGTAGACAATATAAGGTCATCATCCCTGTAAGGGATGGATTGCTAGATCCTGACCCAGGTTTCCTCAAGCCGAAGGGGCTCACCTGGCTCACAAACGGGTCTCTAACAAAGCTGATATATAGGGGGAGAGACCTGTGGCGAGAATCAGTCTTGCACTGGGTCGATACCCAACGATATACCATACTGAGATCTACGCCATACAGGTGTGTGCTCAGAAGAAACTCCAGAGACGTTACTTGGGCAAGCATATTTATATATGCAGCGACAGTCAGGCGGCGCTCCGAGCCCATTGTTGAGACAAGGGCAACTCAAGGCTCACGCTTGACTGTATGAACTACCCTAGAACTACTAAGGCTTGGGTCCCGGATCAAACGGGCATAATAGCCAATGAGGAGGCGAACCAGCAGGTGCATGAATCTAGCAACACTGCCTTCATTGGACCAGAGCCTGCACTTGGGGCTACTTCCTGCCTGATGAAAACCATAATCAGGAACTGGTCAAATAACCAGACGAATGGGTAATGGGTACTAGATATTTTGGACCCATTAATATTTCCAAGGAAGGCTTTACAGTGCCGATATCAGGTTTTGGCGCCATATTGGCGGCTACCTTGGATATCTCACTTCCGTTCGAGATTTCGCTTGGGCAACGGGCATGTTCCGATTCAGCGGTGTCAAAATAGGGGAAAAAGCCTCTTGCACAAAAGTAATATGAAATGCTTCTAAAATTTCGATATTCGGAAAGCTTGACTAGACTACTTAAAGCAATATGAAAAATTCGAATTTCGTACCCCATACTATGGTGCGGTAATATAAACATTTCTAAAAATAAAATTGCGAGGATTAGTATAATGTTAACATAATAATAAGATGGAAGAAGTATGAAAAAACCGTTTGATTTTTTAGCTGGCTGATGTTTTGGTAACAACGCCCAAAGGAACTGTGAGAGGAAGAGAGCTTATTAGCCCTTCAAATAGAACCTTCTATGGCTTTACTGGTATTCCTTTTGCTAAGCCTCCTTTAGGAGCCCTTCGATTTCAGGTATGAATAGTTAGGAAGTATTAAAAATATAATTTAAATAATTGAAGTATTTTATAGGCTCCAGAAGAAGCAGAACCATGGGAAGGAATAGTCAATGCTACTCAAGACCCCAATAAATGCTTCCAAGTAAATAGTGATTCCGAAACTGAAAATGAAGATTGTCTTTATATTAATGTATTCACACCGGCACTTGATTTGGTAAAAAAAAATAAAAAAAAAAACAAAATAAAATTGTATCAAAAAATATTTTTGTAGGCAAAGAGTACCAAAAAGCTTCCAGTTGTATTAAGCATTTATGGTGGTGCTTTTAGAAGTGGGTCTGCTGGCTATAGAAGAGGAGGACCCGACTTTTTTGTTCAAAGGTATTTTTAAGTGATAGGTATATTAATTTCATAATAACAAAAAAAAAAAAAACATAGGGACATCATTAGCGTTAGCTTCAACTACAGGATAGGACCTTTTGGTTTCTTATCCACAGGAGATTTAGTCATTCCTGGAAACGCTGGACTCAAAGATCAACAATTAGCCCTTCAGTGGACCTATGAGAATATTGAACTTTTTGGTGGCAACAAAAGCCACATCACTTTGCAAGGACAAAGTGCTGGTGGAGCATCTGTGACTTATCAACTGCTAAATCCAAAGTCAGAAGGTAATAATCACTTACAATAAAAAGTGCTGTTGGAATTGTGTAATTTTTAGGTGTGATAAAATCAGCTTTGGTTGAAAGTGGTTCAGCACTCTGCCCATGGGCTTGGGCTAAAGACAATCTTCCATACACTAAAAGACTAGCCACAGTTGTCAACAATAACACTAAACTTACTAATACCAGCACATCATTTCTTTTGGACTTTCTTCAAAGTGTACCTGCGAGAGAAGTTGATGCAGCTTCTGCAACTTTGTTTTCTTCTGTAAAAAGCTCTACCTCTATTTATAAGGAATTTGATTATATCGATTTCAGGCAATTCCATTACCAACTCTTGAACCAGAACATGAAGGAGCTTTCATTACAAAGCCCATGTATGAATTATTAGAAGCGGGAAATATTGTTAAAGTTCCTCTATTTATTGGTATTAATTCTGAGGAACATATTAATATGGCAGCAGGTACAATAAAATATCAATATTTATAAGACTATTTTTACTAAGTTATTCCCTATTTCAGATATTGCTCATTTACAACGTATAGCTGCAAATTATGACAAAAATCCTTTAGCTCTAGTACCATTCCAATTCAACACCAATACTAAAGAAACCAGAACAATGGTAGCAAATTTATTAAAGGAAGCCTATGTTGGCAATAGCACCTTTTCTGAAAAATTGGGATCAGTTGTTCAAGTAACAAAAATTACAGTCAAATTTTAATTTAATTTCTTCTCCACATACCATGTTTTAGTATTATAGTGATTCAGCTTTTACAAAATCAGTGATTCGATTTGGAGAACTTTATGCAAGACATAGCTCAGAAGTGTATTTTTATCAGTTCTCGTATAAAGGGAGTATGGGGATTTATAATTACTCCATTGATGGTAGGTATTATAACATTGAAGAATACTTGCTAGTTTCCACAAAACCATTTTTTAGGGGCCGACAATGTTGCTCATGGAGAAGAAACCCATTATATATCAGTAACCAAAGCTGGTTCATTTGATAACACAAAACCTGAAAGATTTCCAGCTGACGATGTGTTAACTCAAAGTCGACTTATTGAGCTTTGGACAAACTTTTACAAATATGGGTAAATTATTATTTTTGTTTTAAAAAAAGTTTTCAACTTACTAATTTCTTTAGAAATCCAACTCTAGAATCACAAGAAGTAATCTCCAACATAACATGGCCTGCTGTTGCAGATGATAATTTTCTCTACTTGAACATAAATAATTCTCTAGAATTGAGAGATACTCCCAAATCCCCAAAATTTAATGTTTGGAGGGATATATTTGAAAATTACGCTTCAAGACCTTATATTGTATTTTGATGTACCTATACGATTGTAAATTTTATTGAATTAAAGTGAAATTGAAGAACACGTGTTTTTTCTTTTTCTTTTCAGTCAAAAATTGACGGAGATACAAAGCTATGAAATATGTCTATGCCTATCACTTATCATATAAATTAATGACGTCGCACATGCTCAGTATATCTATATATACAAAACTTGATATTTGTATAGCTTTTTTTGATTTTCTACAGTTTGCAATAAACAATAATCAATTTAATTTTTCATGCAAGTAGGTACCCTATTTCAGCATAGAAACAATTGAATATCGTTTTCGGTTTGACCGGAAGTGAAATTAATTGGCGATTTCGACTACCGATGGGGGCGCTGGCGTTTGTAATATAGCAAATATAGCAGAAAACTAGTAATATTTTGACGTTCAGCATTGTATTTTACCGATGGATCCACTATTCTATGTCGGTCATAGTCATTTTCCATTCACTAAACAAAGATAGCTAACTCATCGGTGAAGTCACCGATTAGAATAAAAACGAGGGGTTTCCTGTCAAGTGTCAGGTATTTGTCACCTGAGTGTGCGAACTAGGCATTTCGCACACTGGAGAATCATTTCGCACACGGTGTCATGGGAACGTTAAAAAAAATCCACCTGAAAAAAAAGTGTCACTTCGCAAATCGTCATCAGTGTGCAAACATCATCATTTTTTGACAGTTGTAGAAAAATAACTAAAGTCTGTTTTTTTTTTTAAAGATAATTCCCCAAGTCGAAAATTTAGTAACTATGTTGTCAACACAAGCCTTTTCTACATAAAAAAATTGAAAGCATTGACAATTTTACATTTTATTGCCAACATAATGTCATTTTGACTTATCTTTAAAAAAAAACATACTTTATTTTTCAAATGGATCACCTACAAATTTTGGCATTCTACGAGAAATTCATATTTTATAATAAACTAGCTGACCCGGCGAACTTCGTACCGCCTCTGAATTATTAAATATACCTATTAAATGTGTTAACGTAGCTATTAGCTGAATTAAATTCATTTTTTTTCGATGGTGAATTTGGCTTAGGTTGAAAAAAATTAATGTTTACTCTCTGGATCAGAAGTCACCTGTAATCAAAATTTTACATCATCCTTTTTTAGGCAGCTTGTGGGCATTATTCTTGTAAAGTGTACCACCAAGTAAATAAACTCAGGCACAGGAATGTTCAAAGAATGTAAAGAAAACAAAAAAAATCTCTAGCGCAGCCCTGTTTCACTCTATCTGCACTGTATGCACTGCACTACTCCATCTGTTCTACTCTATCTGCACTACTCTATCTGATCTACTTTTTCTGCACCACTCTATCTGATCGGAATAGTGGAATAGTTCTGTTCGAATTAGCTCCAGTTCCTGAGCAGCATTGATCTACTGTATCTGCAATGCCGAGCTTCGTTCCAGGTATCAGAGACGGCGCGGTATACAAAACACAAAATAAACTTGGTATCGGTTATAAGAGATGGCGCCGTATGCGGGCTTAGTAAATTTTTTTCATAAATAAATATAATAAGTAATGAAATGACCACATTAATGACATAACAACATGCTGGTACTGTCAGCGCTGAAAAAAAGTTTCAATTTGACAGCAAGATCCCCATTAACAAAATTATCCTCCATTTATTGAATAATTCATTTATTACAAAAAATGTGATAAACGAAGAACCGCTTGGCCGATTTTGTGCAAACTTCACATAAACCATCTAATAAATAGTCCGAACAAAGCCTAAACATTTGGTTTGGCTAGGTGAGCCCGTTCTTGAGTTATAAAATTACAACGAAAAGTGGCATTAATTTTTATATATATAGATATCACATAGGTACCTACCGTACCTAAAGTTCATTTCATGAAACGAGATAGTGAAAGTAAACAAACTTTGACAGGTAAGTCAAATTTTATTGGCTAGAAAAGGATTATACTCCGCCCTAGACAGGACCGTCGTAGGTTGTTTTGTATTTCTCTTCTCTGAATATATTTCCGAACGAATTCTTCAGCGGAATCTGTTGAACCTGATTGTTTTAATCTAAATTGCTCACTAATTAACAATAATTCACCAAACACTATTTGAATAATTGTAAAATACTAGGAAACACATTAAACTCATTCATTCATATGACAATCTGACAATAATAAATGTCATTAGTTGTAATTCATATTTTTGCAGTCCTACTCTGAATTTTTGAGCTCCGCCTGTTTGTTTACTTCTACTATCTCGTTCCGTGGAATGAACTTTAACTAAAAGTTTTCGAGAGAATCGGTAATTTTTATTTTAGAATTGACAGAATATGATTGAGGATAGGCTCGAACTAATACGTTACTTCAAACTGATTTTAGAACCCCAAAGAATGATACCACGAAAAAAATTCACTTCCTAGTTCAATAAAATAGTAATTTTGGTAGGAAAGTTTTGAAGTGGTTTCGATTTTCTCCATTCCTTATGTTTTCCGCTGTGCTGAAACTGAATCTAAGGTTTTGTTTTGCGGGTAGCTAATACGTAATGTCTTAGCTGGTAGTGGACTGTATTTACTTTGCGGCGCAACCTCTAAATAATGATAAAAAGGACTTACCCAATGATTCCATAAGTGCACTCCTGCAGGGTCCCTGCTTTACACACGCGCTGCGGATTATGGTGTTCCCAATTACGGGTTATGTAACTTTGTAGAAGGTTGATACGAGAGGACTTCACAATGAAGTTTTGAGATTAGAAATATTGCGACCGGGTTAAGCCGTACGACGACGCGCCCGTGTCGTCTCATCGAGTTTCTTAGCAAGTCTGTCCAATTACTCGCTTCTGGTACGTCCACTATCAAAATCTAGAGGTACGACTTTTTTTTGCGCGAAACAAAACAAAAAAATGCGAGCAAACAGGAATTTTGCACCTTTGCCAAATTGTATAAAATTTATTTAGAATAAAGACGAAACATTACCGCCCACCAAAAACATGCAAGTGTTTTTTTTCTTGTTTCTTTTTTCAAGCCAATTTGGCACTATAGAGTCTCAAGAACAAAAACAAAAAAAAAATAAAAAATTCTTTTGTTAAATTAAAATTAAAATAAAATTAACTAGAGGTATTTAGCTATATACAATATCATCTAAGTTACCTATTGGGATGGCAACATAGACACTTTATTAACCGGCCGTTTAAGAACTCCATGGGTTGTCTTAAGGGTTACAACCCGGATAATACCGTCAGGACCAGGATGAGTTTCAGTTATGCGTCCAAGTCGCCATTTGAGGGGTGGAGTGAGTTCATCTCTTAGGACTACTAAAGTTCCAACCTTAATTGGGCTTGGATTAGTATGAAACCATTTGTTGCGCTGTTGCAGAGTATGTAAGTACTCGCGGTGCCAACGTTTCCAGACTTGTTGGTGAAAATGTTGAAGTAGTTGCCATCTACTCAAACGATTTAAGCTTATGGCGGACAAATCGGGATCAGGGATAGTAGATAATGGAGCCAGAGTTAAAAAATGACCCGGGGTCAAACTCGAGAGGTCATTGGGATCCGTACTTAACGCAGAAAGCGGACGGGAATTCAAGACCGCTTCGACTTGGGTGAGCACTGTGTACAGTTCCTCGTACGAGAGGATTTGGTCACCGATAAGACGGACCAGATGAAATTTGACACTTTTGATACCAGCTTCCCATAATCCTCCAAAGTGAGGTCCAGCAGGGGGGTTAAATCGCCAATCAATTTTTTCTTCATGGGCAGCTTCGGCAAACACTTCATGGAGGTATTTAGCGGCACCAACAAAGTTGGTGCCACAGTCACTATGAATCACCGAAACTCTACCACGTCGACTTAGAAATCGTCTCAAGGCAGCAAGAAAAGCAGAGGTGGTCAGATCTGAGGCAAGTTCGAGATGAAGTGCCTTTGTCGCGCAGCATACGAACAGACATAAATAGGCCTTTTGAGATTTGGCACCTCGAGCTCGAGTGAGGGTAATAAAAAAGGGACCGCCAAAGTCGACAGCGGAACATTGAAAGGGTTTTATCTGAGTGACCCTAAAGGAGGGTAAATCACCCATTTTGGGTTGCATGATTGGAGGGTTTACTCGGAAACATTTTAAGCAATCAGAAGTTACTCGAGTGATTGCTCGTTTCGCAGATAGAATCCAAAAATGTTGTAAAATTAAGTAGTTCAACGTTTGTTTTCCACAATGGAGAAATTTTTCATGAAAGTCCTGAATTATAAGATCGGTCAATCTGTGTTGAGCTGGTAATAAGGCAGGGTGTTTTTGTTCAAATGCAAGTTTGGAATGAACTAAACGACCGCCCACCCTGAGAATACCAAGTTGATCTAGAAAAGGGGAAAGTTTTTTAAGCTGATTTGAACAGCGACGACCCTTTGACAGATTGTCAATATCCTCACTAAACACCATCCCTTGAATATATTTCACTAGCGTCATTAGGGAATTATGCAATTCAACATCTGTGAAAGTATTAGTCGAAATAGTGGGTTCATGACGCATTTTTTGGATCACCCGAAGGCAGTACGAGAATATCCTTAAAATGGTTGGGAGCGAAGAACGTTCACCTAAAAGCCTGGAAACACCATCAATTTCCGTAGTGATAGCACATACTAATTTTCCTTCTTCGGCGAGAACTTCCGGTTGCGGCTTTGAATCGGGTTCAAACTTTGATGCAGGCCACACTTCCTGCGGCAACAGTAACCATGCGGGACCGTGCCACCACAAAGAAGCGTCACACAATTCAGAGGGTAACATGCCCCGAGTAGCGCAGTCGGCGGGGTTAAATTCCGAGGCAACGTGGTTCCAGTTTTCAGGAGGCACGATATCCTGGATTTGGCTGACTCGATTGGCTACGAAAGTTTTCCATCGAAATGCCGGCGAGCGAATCCAAGCGAGTGAGACCATAGAATCCGACCAAGCGTAAATCCGCGTAAAGTTAACGTCTGAGTAAGTGGCCAAGACAAATTTAAGTAATTTTGCGGCCAACAAAGACGCACAAAGTTCGAGTCTAGGAAGTGAAATACGTTTTAACGGAGCAACTTTGCTTTTTGCATAAACAA